AGAGTAGCTGTCATCGTCAGCTTCACAGCCACAGAGAATCCGTAAAAAGCGCCTACCTCCACTTCCAAGTCGAGGCAATGCTCTTGACACTGCTCAGGGTCTTGGGGGTGAACTGAAGAGCGGCATTGGCGAAGCTCTTCACCTGGCCCTGGCCACCGGACCAAGACCACTTGGTGTTCCAGACGATAGTGCTGCCCGAAAGAGATTCAAAGGTGGTGCACTGGGAGCCAGAGGTGGCCTGGGCCTCACCCCAAAGGTTATTGTAAAGAATATAGCTGCCCTCGGTGACTGAGCCCCATTGATCGCAGAACTGGGTGGCTGCCTGGGCAGTCGCTGCGGCGAGCGAGAGGGCGAGAGAGAGGCTGAACTTCATTCTGAATAATCGTTCAAGTTCTTGCGAGGATGATCTGTTGACTGACAGAGAGCAGATCGAATTGACATGAGGCCCTCTGACTCTTATAGTTTCCTGAACTCCCTCTCCTGAACCGGCCCCTGGGGTATGTTCGGGTCTTTACCCAAGGCCTGCATCTTCGACGCTTAACCTCTTTGATGCCATGATCATCACCCTCAATCTTCACGACTCACTCGGCGGACAGGGCGATCCCATTGACTGGTGGATCAATCTATACCCAAGCTTCAACTTGAGACACCCACAGTGGCTGCTCCCCACATATGGCTCTAAAGGTCACGGAATGGTCCATTTTACCCGGACAATTCCCGACGAATGAAACAATCCGAGACGACGAAAACACGGAATGATCGACCAAAACGACAATTGTCTCCGGGAGCAGTGAGGATATTGGTGGAAATCACTTCTATTTCGAGCGCATGTAGAAAGAAAGAAGCATTGTGGATGAGGATATGGCTGCGTGGAAATAGATTGACATACGTAAGTGGACCCCGCATTCTGCACTCCAGATCCAGGAGCGTTGCTCTCTCGTCACAGAGCGATGCTAGTAGCTTTTTCGAAGCTAAAGACTCAACTCTGCAGGATTCAGAAAATCCGTTGATGTTGTGGTTGACTTGTGCTGGTGACCACTAGCAGCTTGAATTCCCGACGTGGACGAAAATATGCCCGTTTCATCTAAAGGGAGATCGACAGTCTGTTGGAAGTTTTTCCTGCAATCCATTCTCTATTGACCGGAGTTTCTGGCGGTGTGTTGACTGAAGAGTCGACTTCTCCTCAGGAGAAGTTCCGAATTAATACAGCCCCATAAGCAACTGGCGGTTTCATCCTATTGATGTAGAGTACCTAGCGGTACGGCACTATGAATATAGCGTAGTTGACCGGAATCACGGAACGGAAGAAATCCAGGCAGTCCTTTCACCATCATTAAAGGAGAGTTCATAATTCCAGATTCTGATATCTGAAATGCGTCTATGCAGCCGTAAGAGCTACGTCTATCGCCATTAGTCCTCTTGAGACTGGGTGTTGCCCAGGTCTTTCCAGCTTATGCTCTGAAGCATTGTCCCATGGTGCAGACATACTCACCTTCATTGCAACCATATGAAGATAAAGAGAACGGATATGCTCAGTCAGAAATACCGATCCATACGCTCTCTAGGTTAATGCATACAATGACTTGGATCCTAGATGGCATCGATAAGGGACCATCACGTCAACAGTCCAAAGTCAGAGAGGCAACTGGTTTGCTGACATAACAGAGCAGTCTCAACACTCAACGCAATGCGCCGACAACCATCAACAAAAGCACCTTGACTTCATGACTGAATAATAATAATGATGATGCTCAATCGATTGCAGATTTCGAAACTAATAATCCGATGCCTCTTCCGGATCTCTCTACCCGTGGTGGCCTGAGATGCTCCAACCTCCAGTGCCAAGAAAAGAGGAAAACAAACAGGCCCGACGCCAGGGGAACTCATTCAACTAACCAGGGGATTAGACTACTGCGCGATCAGCCAAATCTACGCGGGGACCGCGGACTCCACCATATTTTTTTCTGCCTAGACTGATAATCCCTATTACTCCTGTTAAGCTTCTTTTTCGCCCCAAGATCTGTCAACTGTCAATTGTTAGTCTCTCAATTGTCTTGATCTTTTGCTCTACACGACCTCCTCCACCATGCCCTCTAAATCCTCCTCCCAACAATCAAATTCCTCCCGCAAGAGTTCCTGCGGCGGCTGCTGTTTCTCCATGCGCAAACTCGGTTTCCTTGCGGCCTTCGTGGCCATCTTCGCTGCGCTGTACAGCTACCTCGATGCTCGTCTTGAGCAATTCTACATCTTCAATCCCGAACAATTGCACGACCTCTCCCAGCGCGCCGTCCAGGCTCATGGCAACGACACCCGTGCGATGGTTGACTTCATTGTCGCCGAGCTGGACCAGAAAATCCCCGGAAACCACCTGAACAAGGACGAGGAATGGATCTTCAACAATGCTGGTGGTGCTATGGGTGCCATGTACATCATTCATGCTAGTAAGATTGTTCAATGGCTCCCAGCTGGCCAGTCTTCACCAAAAGATTCCTTCTAATCATGATTTAGGTATCACCGAATACTTGATTATCTTCGGTATTTCCTCTCACATTTTCTCCTTTTCCCCTTCCGAGCAGTTCTAATTAAGACAGGCACCGCGATTGGCACCGAGGGCCACACCGGCCGCCACACCGCAGATGACTACTTCAACATCCTCCAGGGAACCCAGGTCGCTTTCGTTCCCGGCACTTTCGAGCCCGAGGTCTACCCCGCTGGCAGCGTGCACCATCTCCGCCGCGGCGAGGTCAAGCAGTACAAGATGGAGCAGTCCTGCTTTGCCCTCGAGTACGCCCGTGGTTGGATCCCTCCCATGCTTTTCTTCGGTTACGCCGATACTTTCTCCAGCACCCTTGATTTCCCTACCCTGTGGGCCACGACGAGAGTCACAGGCCGCGAAATGATCATGAATCTGCTGCACCGGAAGTTTTAATCGCGCGATGAACTGGACGATACACAACCAGAGATTGGAGATACGGGATATTGTACTGTAATATTATATTGTGCCTGTGATTATAGATTATGGTAATGCTGTATAGATAGGATATAATATTCTTATGACCGCCGCAGCTGCTTGCAAATCGGACTGTTTTGATTTTTGTTATCTAGACTCTCTTCCGGTGACAAAGCATAATGCAAACGGAACAAACACTAAGAGTCCGCCTATCAAAAGATCTATTAATCGATCAATACTGATAATTTATTATCGCGGGGTCAAGAAATTCTTCCTCTCCATTATTCGGTCTTTTCCCTCAAGATCTCCCCCCAAAATGCCTCCAACGCTGTGTTTTAACTGCAAAGAAACTAGAGCCGTTATTATCCGTCCGAAGAACCGGCACAAGCTATGCCGCGCCTGCTTCCTCGAAGTTTTCGAGACTGAAGTCCACGAGACAATCACCTCCTCCTCTCTCTTTTACCCCGGCGAACGGGTCGCTATCGGCGCCAGTGGAGGCAAGGATAGCACAGTCCTTGCCTCAGTCCTCAAAACTCTCAACGAGCGCTACAATTACGGCCTAGAATTATGTCTGCTTTCCATCGACGAGGGTATCAAGGGCTATCGCGACGATAGTCTGGAGACGGTCAAGCGCAACGCGGTCCAGTACGATATGCCGCTGGAAATCGTCGGGTACAGCGAGTTGTACGGATGGACGATGGATCAGGTCGTCGAGCAGGTCGGGAAGAAAGGCAACTGCACCTACTGCGGGGTGTTCCGGCGACAAGCGCTCGACCGGGGCGCCGCGCGACTGGGTATCAAGCATGTTGTCACGGGACATAACGCGGACGATGTAGCAGAGACGGTCATGATGAATCTACTGCGAGGGGATCTGCCTCGTTTATCGCGGGGGACCAGTATCGTGACGGACTCGGCGGCGTCGGATATCAAGCGCAGCAAACCACTCAAGTATGCGTACGAGAAGGAGATCGTGCTGTACGCGCACCACAAAAAGCTGGATTATTTCAGCACTGAGTGTATCTACTCGCCTGAAGCGTTCCGAGGCAGTGCCCGGACACTGATCAAAGATCTCGAGAAAATCCGCCCCAGCTCGATCTTGGATATTGTCAAGAGCGGAGAGGACATGGCTGCTCTGGTGCCGTTGGAGGTTAGTTCGAGCGGGAAGAAGTGCGGCGGTACCGGTGCTGCTACTGCTACTGCTCCTGCAGAGGATGATGAATCGGCGGGTGGCTGTGGTAGTCAAAACGGTCGATCGAGTGGTGGCGAAATGGCGGAGATGGAGAAGAAGCTCGCTGAAGATGACGCCGCTCAGTCTAGAGAGACCGAGATCAAGCTCCCAGTTGCCCCCAAGAGAAAGAGCGGCAAAGCAAATAACCCGAAAGCGATCAAGAGTCAAACAATGGGCAAGTGCGAGCGCTGCGGATACATCTCGAGCCAGAAGATCTGCAAAGCGTGCATGCTCCTGGACGGGCTGAACAAGAACCGGCCCAAGACCGCGATTGAAGTGGGAGTCGGGATCGAGGACGAAGAAAGCAGCTCTACGCTCATGAGACAGATGGAGCAAATCCAGTTGACGACCAGCTAAGCCAAGGGGAGAAGTATTCAATGCCCTACTTGACAACCTGCTACGCGCTCTGCGATAGCGCACCCCTCCCCATCAGGACTCAGGCCCTGATCCGTCCCCCAGGCCAAAGATCGATCGTATCGATCGATAGACCAGGCAAGACTCCGCGCGGCTCGTCAGCATCAGCACACCAGACGCATGAATAGACGTGCTTGCATGACGCAACCGCCGCGAACCCGACCCCAGATTGCGCGAGAGATAAAGAACCCAGATCGATGCAATTGAATATATGCCAAACACAGTCCTGTACAGGTCATGCCGTAACTCCCGTAATGCTATAATACAATCAAATCAGTCTCTATCCATTCACGCACTTCCCCCTATATACCCGAATCCAATCTCATCGTAGCCCGATTTCCATTCCGGATTCATAGACATTCCGTCCCATCCCATCCTCTCGCACAAGAATAACAACAACTGTGGTTTCTACTCCTTCCCACCCTGCTCCGCAACCGGCAAATCAAATCCCACCCGTCTAGCAGTCAACCGGATCTTCTCCTTCTCCGTCATCGTCATGCCGGGGTTATACCGCTCCACAAGAGCAGCATACGTCCTCTGCGCACGAGCATACTGCGCCATCTGCTCAGCCTCTTGTACCCGCTGCTCGAAGTGTGGATCTGCCGCTGTGGGAGATTGTTCGCCTGCGCCTGCACTTGTGCCTGTGCGGAAGGCTTCGCGGATGCGTTGCTGGAGGGGCGTTGGGTTGGAGAGGCTGCGGCGGGGGAGTTCGCGGAGGATGGCGCGGTAGGTGGAGCGGACGTGTGGTGTCATCTTCTTTTTTTTTTTCTTGATTTTGAGTTTGTATGAGAACGGGGTTTGTTTTTCGTTGGGGTGGAGGAGGGTGAGAGAGTGATCATCACTCTCATAGATCTACAGAGTAGGATATTTCGGAGAGCGGCTTTATCACGTGATCTTATCGGTGGCTTCATGGAGATACTACAAAGTAGAGAGCACCTGAGGAGATGAAAAGATGCGCTGCATAAGGCATCACGTTGATTATTATGTTAATTATTTAACTATGTATGTTTCGTATATGTACACCAAGTGGTTATCACCACTTGAACCGTCATTTGACCATCTCGTCAGTCAATCATCAGAAGGCATGTCACGTCAGGGTGTAGGAAGTATAGAAAATATATGTAGAGTGATGCATGAGTCGTGCTTGTAGTTAGGAGGTAGGCGCGGTTGGTAGGTCGTATGCAAGAGTAGAAGTCGGTCAAAGTTATCTTTCTGAGGATGTGCTCTAATCCGGTCAAGACCGCAGCCAGCCGAATTTCTTGCGTCCTGTGTCGACGCCCGTGGATGGTTCAACCTGTACACTGCGTGCATACAAGTCCTATTCATATTAGCCAATGGAATCACTGTTTGTTGGTTTTGTACGAACCTCTTCATCTCCAGAAAGCTTGATATCCAGGACCAACCGCTGCACGTCCTCATACCGATTAATATGAGCATACGGGGTCTTCTGGCTGCGCTGGATGCCCAGAATAACTTCTCCCATCACCTCGAATTTCTTCCAGTTGATCCGAGACCGGTTGTCTCCGACGAAGGTCTTATTCCCTTCCTCGGCCGACACCAAATCACGGCGATGGAGTGGGAGAAACGGAATTCGCTCCGAGAATGAATTGTCCCAGGCTAAGCGATATGCAAAATGGCTCTTCTGCGTCCCCATGAGAATCACAAGCCTCATGAAGTCCTTCTGTACTTGGACTGGGACCAGCTCCCGCGTCTGAGACAGCCGATGTACTGGAGTTCCATTGATACCGGYAATTAGTGCGCCCAGGGAGTTGTAGTTATTCAACCGTCGCAGTTTCTTCAATTAGAGTTAGATATTTCCATTTCCTCGTTCACGATTAATCTTACCTGTGCAATGTTCATAAACTTCTCCAGGGCCCTTGCCCGGTGCTTCGGCTTATCCCGAAGAAGGATCATACTAGCCACGAAAAACGCGATATGGTTGAATTGCTTGATCATGCGATTGACATGCTTCAAGCTCTGAATCTTATCTTTGTCGGGGCCTGAAATACTGACATGCCGTACAAGGTCCCGAGGTCGAAACGAGTTGAACATGATCCAGTCAATTCGTGTTAACTCGCGTGCAAAATCTTCGTCGGGTATCTCCATGAATTGCCGCCATTGTATCTTGGTCAGTGGCACGCTAGGTGTCAGCTCCAGGTGCTCGGACTCTCTTTGCGCAGCTTCAATGCTCAAGCTCGTGAACGATTGGCTCGAAATCGTGCCGGGCTTGTCCACCGTCGAAGTACCCGATAACCCTCCAGAGAACCTTGTGCTCTGCTCTGGCGGGCCCTCGCTCAGATCTAGAGCGCTCATGTTGTAGATGGGGTCCTCCTCCTCTTCCTCACCTTCATCTTCTCCTGAGGTAGGCCCCCCCAGGAACATGGAAGGAGAGCTCCGGCCGGAATTGACGTAGAAAGTTTCCTGGTCATCGAATTCCTCCACGTCGCCGTCTTTGAATGGCCACCCAACATCATCATCTTCCGTGTTCACTTCGAGATACGATCCAATCTCTTTGGCGGCAAACATGTAAAAATGACTCTTCTCCAACGTTGATACAAAATCCAGGATCCGCTTCCGGGTTTTTGGATATGCCAAGTCGCCGGGGTACTCCGATACCCACTGTGCCATCACGTTGAGCAGTCTCAACTGATCAGCAATGCGGGTCAGCTGGTCAGTGATATTTTTCTCATTTCGTTCAAACCGATGTATCAGCGCGTTGAGTAGACTGGCAGGTGCCGCAAACTTGCGATACAGGCACAGGAAGATAGACGAGAACTTCGAGTCTTGCTTCGACATCGGCTGCGCCACAAGCCGATCAACTAACTCGTCAAATGTGTAACCGGTGTCATTCGAACTTCCATCGTTTGTTGATTTGTCCTTGCTGCTGCCACCAGGACTTGACGGGGCGCTACGCGACGCGTCAATTTCATCTTCCGTCTCCAAGAAGCTATTAAAGGCGTCCGAGCCGCCACTGTTTCGCCAAGCAGAATGGAGCCGATGCTGGCGATTGCGGTCCTTGGCTGGAGATGACTCTCCTGACGCTGATGGCCTGTGCAAGTTCAACGTGGCTCCGGAGGGAGGGGTGTGCGGTCGCACCGGAAACGAGTTGCTCCGGCCATATCTCGAATTGTGCGGATTGGAAGCCAGGTTGGGTGAGTCGGTCCGGTCGACGGGATACAGGTCGTCGCCGTACCCATCGACTCCTGATTCAAACACACTCGTGGAGTTTGAGCCGCCCGCGGCTCCGTTGAAGAAGGCTGTAGGTGTTTCGGAGTTGGCACGAGTATGGTGGCGGTCTTGCGAGCGCGGTCGGTACGAGGCGTCGCAAGAGGTTCCCTGGTCGGACTGGTTGTGGGAAAGATCGGTGAATGCTGAGGATCACAGTTAGCATTCAAATTAAGATATAGCCGGCAGAGCGCAGTAGCTGTGAAATTTATGTAGGTTTCCACCAGTAGATAGATAAATGACAGGTCGCTTTCTTTTCAAAAGGGCAAAAGGGTGAGCGAACGCTAACTCAGGCCGTGCCGCGAATTAGCGCGATAACAACCGKCCCAAAAGGGGTTGGTTGTTTATTCGTCCCAGGTTTTGTTGCGAAACGCCCAGGAAGCTCCAATCAAAATGGTGGAACAATAGGGGTATAGGGGGAAAGCTTTTGCTGTTTGAGGGGTAGTGATTCTGTTGGGCACGGAGTCGTAGGGCTAGAGGGAAATGTTGCCATCCGCCTGATTGACACTCACCATATTTTTTGCTGACGACAGATCGCAGAAGCATGGCAATGCACGACTTCTGCGACTTTGGAGATTCGGAGGACATCCGATGGATCTCGTAGTTGCCCAAAGCAGGCTCAACGAATCTATCGTGCCTTCGAACATCACATTTACTCGCAATTAGAAGAAACGGCAAAGATGACGCGGACAAAGTGTCTAAGCAAAGGAGCCATTAGCAATCATATACCTTTTTCGAGAATTGTGAGTCTGAAGCAAGCGGGAGTACTATGTGAAACATACCAAGTAAGCCTGTCAATTCTGAGAAGCTTGCGGGTTGGGTCACGTCGTGAAGAACGAGTACTCCGTCAATAACTTTTGGCGAAGTGGCATCGGTGCCAATCCGAGGCCACTGGAGGTCTCCATTGCTTCCGATTGTTATTTCTTTGGTCGAAATCTCCACAAATCGAACAAGGTAAACAGTGCCATCTAATGACATTTTCTTTGTTGTCGATCGTGAGGATAGCGGGTTCTTCATGTCTAGAGCGCTCCGGATGAATGTGGATTTGCCGGCTTTCTCTTGGCCAACAACGGCGATCGTAAGGTGTGGGAAGTTCGGCTTCTGAGATATCTATAGCGGAAATCAGTGGTTAGCCGTTTACTACAACCTCCGTCAGATCACAATGCCCGCGGATAGAACTTACCCCGTTACCATCATGCATCGACAATAAGCCGGTGTCACTCCTTGAGAGAACATGTTCCTCCTCCTCTATGAGAGGGCTCTCGACTTTACTCCGTGTGTCGGTTGCCATTCTGGAAGAATCAAGCTTATGCAGACCTCCGGCCGGTGCGGAAATTGTTCTGCCCGAGAGACCTGGCCTCTGCGGGAAGGGTGCAGGCTGAGCTCTGTCGCTAGAGGACCGCTCTCGTCGCGGTTGCTCGAAGGTCATCATAGAGTCGTTTTGGTGCAGAAGTTGGACGATCGCGGCGAGTGGAAGGGGCCAGCGGAGACGTCAACATGCGATAGCGCAAAATCCGATATTGCTAGGCGAGTGACTGATGTAGACACGACAGCTCATCCATTGTCGCTTTGAGTAGGATGGTGGGTCGATACTGATTGATTGATTCCTCTGAATAGATTCGAGTCACGGTCTCTTCTCAGCTGTCTCCTCTTATTCACTCTTTCCGCTGACGGAATGATCGATGGTCAAATACGAATCACGCTGATGAAGAGACAAAATTAGTAAAACCCGTCGTATTGTCGAAAGAACTTTGAGGATAAGCTCACATGAACGCCCTCCAATTCGAAGAGCGCAATACGATTGAACTCAATTTGCCCTTGCAGATCAGATCGAAGGCGGTTTGCACTGCCCACAAAGGCGGAAAGAAAGGATGGATTTGTCTGGAACAAAGAGGAAGATCACTCTTCGGTACAAATGTCGGAGGTTGAGGTGGGTTGCCAGACGCTCAACATATAGAGGATAAATAGGTAAGAGTATGAGTAATCTCAATAGAATCGAGAGGGAGACATGTTGAATCACTTGGTCTTAAAATATAATAAAAGCAAGACGGCAGCTAGAACTAAATCGTATCCAGGCTCCACGATTTCGCGTGACTGCGGCCGAAAAAAAGGCGGCGGGATCTTCAATCTGTGGAGGTAGGCAGACAGAAGCCTCCACTGTGCAATTCGGGATTGGATAATTGACGGCCAGAGCTTTGATGTTCACAAGAATAAGACAGTGATGAGAAGACCATAAAAAAGAGACAACAGGACGGCAATAGAATCTTATGGTTCACAGCTGACGATGGATGGAGGATCCCGGACGAATCGGAGCAATGGTCGTCTACAAAGTGGTACAATAGAGACACAGCACTTGAAGGTGGCTCAATAGCCTTTCCGAATCAGAAAAGGAGTCAGTCTACTATTGTACCAAGACGTCCAAATCTGTACACCATTCGTTGTTCAGTCGAGAGATGTGCACCAGTTAGATTAGTGACCATCTTTTATTCAGCTATAGAGATCAGCTATAGAGAATGTCATGCCTACGATTGATGCCCCGTGACGAGACTTGTTATATCGCCCAAGAGTTGAAAGCAGACTGGACAGTATATTATTCGCTTAAACAAGGACACCAACGCCCCAAACAGCAACCTCATTTAGGGTTAGAAGTAGTAAAAACGGTGTACTTGGAGTAAGCTGCCCAGGTAGCTAAATGTAGCTAAATGAGCTAAGTAGTTAGATAAAAGCACCGCCGTTCGTACGCCTTCCATTTCATTTGTCGCAGGAATGGTACGAGCGTCGCTAGTGTTGTAGACTTGTAGTGGACCTGCTGATATATTGAACTAAATCCAAACTAAGAACATGGCTAACAGGCCAGAAATCATGGATTGGTCCGGATCCGTTTCGCTCGCATCCACAGAGGAAAGACATCTGCATTGACATTAGAGCTGACTCTTCGCACTTGGCAGTGATCTTGCCTTGAGAACCGCCTCTCAATCCTAGAGCGAATGGCGCGCAGGGGGTTGAGCCATAATTTTACACCCCAACCTTGGAAGTCAAGTATTGTGCAATACCACGAAGTGTTCAAGAGACAAAATCAAAAGACTCAGCCCATGGACAAACATGGAAAGCCCCATCTTGAGGATAAGATCTGGAGCAGCGGGTTCTGAAGCCCGTCACGCAGCCTGATTCGGGCTCCACTGTGGCCAGGCGTCTAATAGACGTACCTAACCATTCAATCACCGTTGGGAGCTCGGCTTCATGTGTTCCAAGCCTCATTTTTGAGTGACAGGGTTGATCATTATCGCTTCGAGTCCGATAAATCACACGCATCCCCAGAAGCGTCCCATGGATTCGTCCGGCCGAATACCTCGACTCGCCTGTAATTCGAGCTGCGGGCATCAGATCGACGGTGTTTCGGCCGGTCGGGTCCTTTCCAGCTATCACAGCCCCCCGCATTCTGCTATGGTCCAGGACATAGCCTGAATCCGGGTGGGAATATCTCATTGGGAACTGACCTTCAAAGGTGGTATTAGGCGGGGAATATGGAGCAGAAGGAAAATGAAAAGGGTCGCCACTTCATGTCACTTTGTCCTTGTACGATGTTCAGCATTGCTCAAGTGAGAGCGGAATATCTATCTAAAGCTCTTTTAAGTAGTTTGTGTTTCAGCTGATAACAAAACACCAAAATATATCTACCCAAGCTATGGGGAGGCATCTCTCATATATTGCCCATTGACGCTCAACATTGCCATTGTCCTTCCCTGATCATAACTGCTCTGCAGTCCGCTATCGCGAATATTTCCAATAGTGTAGCAACATAGCTGCGTTTGGCTATGTGATCTTCCAAGCCATKTAGGATGAGATTTTCACTCCTCTTCTCGCAGAGGAGGGAATTCATGAGGGCGGCTGGTGCTGGTTTTCACCTTTAATCAGACCCATAAACTTCATAAACGCCTCTGCATGCTTTCCGGTCTCCAATCCTTCTTCGCATCTCTCCCTCAATTTTCTAACCTTGCCCAAACCTCGGTTGAAACCCTTCTCCCGGGTCCACGAGCCTCGATTGCGGTAACCTCCTCGTCCCCTATGGTAGGGTCGTGATCGCCCCGCAGGTCCCTGTTCTATCCACTCCTCTTCCAGAGTAATCTTGTAGATATCGTGTAGGCAATCGCGAAGCTGAGGACTCTGAGCAAGTAGGTCTTTGATCTGGGGGGAGGACGCTAATGCTTCCACGCTGTATGCATTCCGGTTTGCTTGTGCGTTCGAGCTCTCGTTGGCTTCCTTCTCGCCGGTGACGTTAGGCGTGGTTTGAATGGCATCCGTCGCGATGGTCGGCTCCGGCGCCTGGGGTTTGGGTGCACAGTAAATCTTATGGGACTGAGTACAGGCGAGCGAGCAACTGTAGACAGTGGGTGAGAACAAGGCAGGCGTATTGAGGTAGCGAAATAAAGCTTACCTCAAAAGCCCACAGGTAGGGCATTTGTACTTCGAGGGTTCCGAAACGCAAACTTCGCAAGTTCCAGGCATCTTTTTGCCAGCTTGAGACTGCGAGCCAGCTGAGCTGCGATCAAACTTCGTCAACCATGATTTGTAGCTTTTGCAGCTACAGTCAGATGGCAGAAGACAATGAAAAAAGTACCCTTAAGCCAGAGCAAACACATTAACAAACGGATAGTGAAAGCTGATGGGAAGATCTTCAAAAATACCTTCGGTGTCTTCGCCGTCGCCGCAGAATCAAAAATCGTAGATGCCTCAGGATCCAGGAATCATCCAACGAAATTCAGATCACATGATTCGTCGCCACTAATGGCGACACGGCCCAAATATAATACCATTATTCTGTTCGATAATTGCACACTGTAGAGAAGTAAACGCTCATCTTCGGGATTATCAGCTGAGACAGAAAGTTTATGATTTTCAATGAGCTTAGTGGTGGACTCATCTACCATCTCTAACAATCGGGGTTGTATACGKAGTGACGATAATGGATGGCGCTCCATTCATATTAACTGGATGGAATACATGTCGACGTCGTGAAGTACAACTTGGATTATAGGGTAGTGGTGTAGATTAACTAGTATGAATTTTTACATGCGACGCAACGAAGCCGTAATGCCTTAGTTGTATCAAAAAGGTCACGTCTGCACTGGCTATGTCAGGATGAAGGTATTCAACCACAACTCTACCGACTGGATGGGCGAAATGAAGAGAAACTCGCCCGTGGACCGAATGCAGCTGCAGAGAGCACGAGCACGTCTCGTCAATAGATACGGAGTGAATGTGACATACCTCGTTTGAATGTCCGATCTGAGATCAGAGCTCGACTGCTTACCTCCTGCATGCGCCTCCATCACATTATTCAGGATAAGATTGGAAAGAATCCCCTCGAACGCTGCCAGACATCGCTTGGAGTAGTCCATCGCTCGACGGATCCATTATCTCACTTCCCTCGGCTTTCATCACTAAAGTAGGAGGACGATTGCTTACTCTTGTACAGCGCAGATCTTTATGGCAATGCCATGTACAGCGCAGAGGACAGCAAACTAGACTACATGCTTTTGTCCAAATGTCATTTTCGGCGACTGGGGTTTGGGATGCGAGATATCGAAGAATGGTATCTTGCTCAAACCATGTCTCAAGAATAAGACGATACCAAGCCCGACTTGAGGGGAAAGTATGAATACTCTTCGACACCATTCGTATTTCTGGAACAACTCACGGACACAGAAGATTGTGTGTTCTGACTGAGAGGATCTGGGAGGATCTGGGAGCATCTGGGGTCCCAAGGTCTTCATGTCTGGCTCTAGGCAATAGATCCTAAGAGTCAAATTTCGTCTGCACAGTGCTCGGCAAGCATCATGAAAGGACTCGAAAGTTGCCTCGACTTGTGTAAGAATGGGTAATGGTCGGCCCTGGGACTCAAGTGCCTGAAATCTCGCCAGAGGTATGAAATGAAGCACTTGTTTGATGGATGTCGAATTGTTTGTCCTATTGGGCTGTTTCTTCTATGCCGGATTTGTCATCAACGGGAATTGGCACCCATTCCCGAGAGTCATGTGACCTTAGATTGCGTCAGAGCTAAATTGAAAATGGGATTCGGGGAAGTAGTATTCCACTCCAGACAACAATTATCAGTTCTTCTTTTCCAATATAGAGTGTCTTTCTTCCAGGCATATCCAGGTACCACTGAAGGATTTCTCAGAACATGTCTGTCAGCCGCACGTCGACAAATATGCTCAGAAGGGCTCTTTTGGACGCGCGGTTCTCGCCGAAATCTGCCGCCGTCCAGTCGCAAGGCATCCGACCAGCACTCGGATCGTACAAGAGCATCCATAACTCCGCCCGGCTGCCTGCCATCACGGCCTCTGAGACTCGTCGCCGGCCGACTTTGCGCCCTCATCATAGGCCTGCTGCCCAAACCCGGGTGAACGGACCGTTGCCCGTTACGAAGCG